TTATACATACCAAAGTAAAACAGGATTAAGTAAACAGGTTGTAAGGATGAGATTATAAAATGTTCAGAAGAAAACTGAACTGTAAAGATAAAGTAATTTTAATTTAGCATGTTTCATCTTTAATTTATAGACTCAAATTATCATGGGGAGGTAAGTTTTGCCTTTATCCTTTGAATGTATTAATAGTTCCAAGGCAAGTCTATACCCTAATCAGGCAAATAATAAGTCAGAAATCCAAACAGCCTCCAATAAGCCTCCAATACACACTTAGTATGTACTGCTTATATACATATATGTATAGCCAGCAATGTGCAAGGTGCTATGAGGAACTCAGAAAAACTTACAGCTCTAGCTTTGAACAACCTAATGGTGTTTTCACACATATCTCCATATGGCTACAGGTATTGGTAGTTCATGTCTTTTCACTGTTAGAAAAATTCTACTGAGCAAATAAAAAATATTTTGTTTATTCACTCAACATGTGGGTGGAAATTTTAATTATCTCTGGTTGTTGTGGGTATGAATAAAAATTATGAGCTATACTGTATAAGCCTTCATGCAGATAAGAAATTTTATTTCTCTATGTATATGGCTAGGATAGGGATACATCTTTGTCTTCATTAAAAACTGCCAAATTTCCAGCCAAAGTAGTTACATCGATTTTAGGTTCCCATGACCATTAGAGCTCACTTTGCACAGCATGCTTAATAGCACTCTGCATTACTGGCCTTTTTAATTTTTATTACTAGTCTTTTTCATTTTTATCATTGATAAGAGGAAAAACTAGGAACTGATATGTAAGGAATGCCAATTATAAAGGTATTTTAGTATGGAAGCATTTGTATACCATTCCAGAGTTAACCTAGGGGGATGATATTAAAAAATGTAAACAAATATTGAACTCTAGTTACTGATATATACACCGTTATGTTCTGAGGGAAGTAAAGTTGTGGCTATGCTGAAATTTAATTTGAAAAATCATTAAAAAACACAGTATGAATTGATTCACAGAGAAAGACTTGGATAAATGGACAGGTATGCAACTAAGCAAGAATCATAAAACATTAAACGAGGCACAAAGTTGGGGGCCTATGAATGCAATTTCTTGGGAAGTTGACATGGGAGAATCACTTGAATATAGGAGTTTGAAGCCAGCCGTGGGCAACATGGCAGGACTGTGGAAAAAAAAATTAATTTTTTTTTAATTGTGGTTTTTGGTAGTAAGGAAATTCTGCCCAATATGCTGTGTGAAAAGTGTCTTGCATGGTGGGAAAATTACTGTTGGTACAAGTATGGTCCTCAGCTCACACCCATACTGTTCTGTTTAGATTTCCTGATATTGTAACAATATGTGCCATGTGTACAGCAGTATGTGTAACAAAAGACAGAGTTCTTGGCTCGTGGAATTCCTGATTCCACAAAGCAGAACAATGTGACACTGGGTTGTCATGATCACAAACATGTCAGTAATTCTCTGCAGTTAGGTGCCTCGTTTGTAAATGTAATGGATTTATAAAGTACACAGCTAACTATATAGTACTGTGATTGTTTCGCTTCGTAAGACTTTCATATAAACATTTTTTATTTGTTTGTTTTGTTTTGTTTTGTTTTGTTTTGTTTTGTTTTGTTTTGTTTTGTTTTGTTGAGACAGGATTTCTCTGTGTAGTCTTGGCTGGCCTGGAACTCAGAGATCCACTTGCTCTGCCTCCAAAGTGCTGGGATGGCAGGGGCTGCCTCTGACTCTGTTGCCTGCACTTGGATCCCTTTCCCCTAACTGGCCTGCCTTGTCTAGCCTCTACAGAAGAAGACCCACCCAGTCCTACTTGATATGCCAAGGCAGGCTGATATTCATGGGAGGTCTCCTCTTCTCTGAGAAGAAAGGGAGGAGAGCATAGGGAGAAGAGGTGAGAGGGAGGGACTGGGTGGGAGGAGAGGAGGGTAAGTTCCCTTTGGGATGATAGATAGATAGATAGATAGATAGATAGATAGATAGATAGATAGATAGATGGATGAATGAGAAAAAAAGCAGAACAAACAAACAACAACGAAAAAACCTGTGTGGCCAGCGTATATGAACTGATTTATCAAAAAAAAAAAAAGTTGACCAGGTTGTCCAGTGAGAAACTGTAAAATTTAATTGCATTGTGAATAAATTGGATTGAGCACCTTTCTCCTTCCAAAATGTCACAGCTAAGTCACAGACCTCTGGTTCTCAGATTATAAATTATGTATGATACTGAAAAAAAAATCACATAAACACTAGTTAAGATACTATATTAGTACACCAGTGCCTAGATGCATACTTTCCAACTTCTTCTTTTCTTCATTTTGACACTTTATAATGTTTAAAAGATGGTTAAACATTATTTGCAGACCTAATTTCTACAAAAGTTGTTTGTTGTAAATGAATAGCTGGTTTTCATCTACCAAACTACAATGAGTGAAGGAGTTGGCCTCCCAGAAAACACAGGCAATTTACACTAAGAGCAGGAAGAGGCTATCATCCTTGCTTTCACTTTAAAACCTCCTACTTGTGCTTCGAAAAAGCTGTCCTTAGTGATGTAGAGGAAATGAAGAAAAGCAGCTACTGAGACTACCATCCCTCTACAGGAATGCCGTCCATCCACAACCCAATCTAAAACTCTTTAGCCCTTTCTTCCAAACAAGCCTAATTCTTGCAGACATGTACATATGCGTTTTTCCTTTTTGTCTTCCTCATAGTTTTTAATTATGTGGATTTTTAAAAAGTAATTAATGTCTACAGTAACCCATCTAAAGTGAATATTTTTTTTATAACCATATCCCCAGCATCTAGGACACTCAGCACATAAGAGATAAAAAATATTGATTTACTTGTTAGTTAAAGAACATTTAGTTTATCATGACTACTATGCCTCCAAGCTGTACATAATCAGAAAATTAAAGTAGCTGTAACTTTGTCTTTTATAGGGAAAAAAGAATAATGCAATAAATGTGTGTGTCAAAGCTACCTGGCTCTTTTCTGCCCTGGTTTTCATTCTACTGTCTGCTAAGCTGTCATATCTACTTTATGTACCCTCTCACAAGTAAAAAAAAAAAAAAAAAAAAAAAAAGATAAGTATGGAGACTTTCAGAACAAGGGATTTTCCTCATAAGAAGGCAAGGGAAAAACAAACACTGTCATCTCAAACTTCCCACTCAAAGGCCTTGGTAATTGTAACAGGAATGCCACTGAAAGTCCCAGGCCATTATCTCCAACTCTGTGAGACATGGTTACACTGCTTCACTGAGATGACACTGTTAGAACCCCATTATCACTCTCAGAGACTTCATGAATAGAACAGGCAGATAATGATATATGTCTAAAAGTAAACAAAATCGTTTTCCTTCAGTTACAGGTACACACCAGACTAAATTCAACTGCCTTCTGGACCAAGCACTTTTCATTCAATTATGTTTCTATATGAAATCTCAGAGCAGGGAAGAGAATCAAGCTTTTAAAAGGTTAGAATATCATGTGTCTGTGCTCAGCCAAACACAAAACAACATTATTGGTATGTACTTTGTACACCATCGGCAAACAGTGTACAAACAAAAACAACAACGACAAAAGAACCTCTAGGATCCAAATTTTAAAATATAAAAGTATTTTTAAGACCTTAACCTTATCAACAAAATCCTAGGCTGGTACTGAGAAAGGCTTCCTTAAACTAGAGAACTTAGCTTGGTGATTAAAAACAGTGGATGCAATCCCAGCACCCACCTAGTGACTCACAGAGGTCTGTAACCCCAGTTCCAGAAGATGTGATTCCCTCTTCTCCCCACTGTCATTGCACACACGTCATACAGATATATGTGCAGGGAAAACACCCAAACACATAAAACAAAAAGAGAAAAGATAAAAAAAAAAAAAAAAAAAAAAAAAAACAGCCACTGATTCTTAATTCATCACCTATTTGGTCAGAGTATAACTGTACTAAAGAAACACAAATATTTTCTAAGACTCAACCTAACCCTAATTTAGGAAAGAGAGAGTAGTGTTTCAGGTTTATTCCCTCACCCTCTAGATAAAAGAATTTTCTTCTAACATTTGTAAAGGCATGCTTAGCAAAGTGCTACGTTTTCATTTCATTCTAATCTAAAATAGTCATAAATTCATATTTATCAATGAAAAGTTATTTATACCTTGAGCTTAATTCTGACTAAATTATCAGATTCTTGATTTTTTTGAAAAGCTAAAAGAGGGTTTTAAAATTAAAGTTTTATTCCCAAACCACAACTCAAAAATATTTTGTAAAAGATGAATTATTGTAAGCTTAGTTTATCATTCCTATTATGAGAAATATTACAAATGCCCTTAGTGCTTAGCTTAGCATTACCCAGAAGCTCATGGAAAATTTATTTTGATTTTTATCTCAAAAAAACTTGGTTTGTATCCACAGTAAACCCCACAGATCTCCTCAAATCACAAACAGAGAGAAAAAGATAATAATCCAACAAAATTCTAAGCTTAGAAAACAGATGGTTATATTTCACAAGGCAGTGGCTGTCAGGCAAAGCTATGATTTGTGAACGAAATCTTCCTCCTATTCCATAAAGTACCAATATTTGCCTCAAAAAAAAAAACTATTACTAATTGTTGGCAACAGTCTAGGAAAAAAACAAGTGAAATTCAGTCTGCTAGTAGTGACAATTATCCAAATACCAAGAAGGGTTCTAAAACAAAACTCCCCAAGGACAGACACTCCCTCTGAAGAAAAGAACAAATAAAGAAATGCCTGCCAAGCTCTGCAGAAACTCTTTGGCAATTGGAAGACTGAACTTCAAGATCTTTCTAATACAATGAAATCTCAACCACACAGGATAAGGCAAGAGTAAATAAAGATGAGAGATGACAACAAAGACAAAAGTAAACAGTGGAAGGACAGATATTACCAAATGAACATGATCCTCCCAGAGGCCTTAGAATTAAGCATTTTTAAAACAAAAGTTGTTTTGCTACTGTTATTCAGTTTCATTACCTGACAGGCAGATATAAGTTAAATATTCTCCTTGACCCCCAGTTGCCAAGAAAGGAATCTTTTTCTTTGTCCTCCTCTTGACTTGGACGGCTCCCAGCATTCTTTCATCAAGAGGTGCAAAAATTTCCTTGCTGATGGCAGATTTGGCACTCATTGTAGAGCAACCGAGGAGGGCACACAGGAAATTTTCTGAAGAAAAAGAAAAGAAAAGTTGGAACTGATGATATTGAAGGGCTTGTGGGAATGAGCAGTGAGGTGTTGTTCCATCTGTTGCTGTAACCTCTGTGCTACAGACACATTAACAGAAAGCTCTTCAGAGTGTACTATAAAGGTACAAAGAAAAGGGGCTGCATTCTCACTACTTGAACTGTCAGCACAATGTGGCATGAACAGCAAGCAATGAGCTCTAGGGGGCTTGCTAATCTCTACCTCAGCTGTGCCTTCCCCTAACTGACAGCAGGATCCATCCTCTTCCTCCTTTGCCAAGAACAAGTGACAATTGCAATTGAGAAGTCTGTACAACAACCCTTAAATCAAGTTGTTTATACTCCTTCCAAATCTCCTTTGACTCCAATGTAAATACAATTGACTAACTCAGTTCATAATGGAAATAATTATGTTATCTTCCATTTAATACCCATTTAAAAAAATATGAAACCATTAATTTCGTCACTGCACAGCTGCCTTTCCTCAGCTAAGTAAGGAGCTCTGTTTATTAGGCTCCTGCCGCGGGCCCTACTGTTCAGTGACCCACTGCACAGACTTGCCACCATATGGACCCTTGCCAAACCTTCCACATTTTCCTTCATCCCCAGTGGGCATGGAATTCTGAATCTACATCTGACTAGTGCCAAATATTTTGGAAATGCTACCCAGCAGTTCCCACTTTATGCCCCTGGGTACCACTTCGTGGTAGTGGGTGACCGACCATGGAGAAAATGAAGTAGCATGTTTCCTCAACAAGGCACAAACTAATGCAGTCAGAGTCCTAACACTGTATTTGGTTTGCCAAATACTAGAATATATATATATAGTATATGTAGTATTATATATATACAGTATTACCTATTGGTTTTTATAATTGTTTCATAATTATTCTTACTGTTTAAAAATGGCCTTTTATTTAGACAGAAAGGGGGAATTGTTGGCGGTTGGCCTGGTGTTATGTATTCTAATGTAAATTATTGGCCCCCAAGATCTTTTCCCTGCTCAGAAGGGCACATTCTCACATAAACCTATCCTTGTGTGAGCCTATCCTTGTTGTGTAAATCTGTTTTTGTTGTGAAAGCCTGCCTAAATTATTATACCTGATTGGTTAATTAAACGTCCTATACCTGGGCAGGGCAGAATGGGATAGGCATGGCTAAGATTCCCAGGCTTCGGGTTCACGAAAATCACAGGAAGACAGACAGATGGGAAGAGAGGAGGGAGGAAGATGCCAGGATAGGTTAGTGTGAAGAAAAAACCACATGGGCCGAAAGGACGGACTCCAATAATGGCCTGAAAAATTCCAGATGAAGAATACAAGCAAATACCGTGGGATTATGGATGGAAGGTAGACCAGATGAGGAGGATTAAGGTACATGGCGTGGGAGATGAATGGTGAGGTTATTGAGCCAGCATAGGTGAAACCCTTCCCAAGGTAAATAGGCAATTACAAAATCTAACAGATGTCCGTGTTTTCTTATTTCTGATAGTGGGTTAAATAATACTGCCATGATAATCTAAGGGCTAATAATAAACATTATATTGCCCAACTCTCACTTTTTTTATTTCTTTTTGCAATACCGTATTTTCAAACACATCCAGGAACTCACTGAAGTGCACCTTCCCCAACTGTCATGGCTTTTGCTTCCACATCTTGATTCACATCTTCTCAAGCCATATTGAAAGGCTATCTAGAACTAACACCACATTGTGTGAAATCCATCAGAAAACCAAAGAGGGACACCTGTTTGACCAGGATCTTTAAAGATCCTATTCTTTCAACAACTGATGAAAAATTAAAGTGATATTTGTTACTTTTTTACACTTTCTTACTTTTGTATACTGATATTCACAAATGGAAGGAGTATAAGAAGAAAAAACCAGTAACTTCTCTGGACCCAAGTTTTACCACCAAACAAGCTCCAATTTAGATTTCAGATCCAATATTCAAGGACAGAGATTGATGGGTGAATCTCAGTATTTCTCAGTTTATGTAGCACCGTGGTTCCCAACCTTGCTAATGCTATGACACTTTAATACAGCTCCTCATGTTGTAGCGAGCCCTAAACCCAAAATTATTTCTGTTGCCATTTCATAGCTATAATTTTGTTACTGTTTGTGAATCATAATATAAATACCTGTGTTTTCCAATGGTCTCATGTAATCTCTGTGAAAGGGTCGCTCAACCTGGAAAGGGGCTTAGTTAGGACAACATGGAGATGTCTTCACCTCCCTCTTGGAACTGAAGAGTTAAATAGTTTAATATGTTCAGCTCATGCATTCTAGTGCCTGAGTATCTTTTATTAACCTTAAAGATAATAGATTTTTATTAACTCCTATTAGGATATGAATAATGAAATATCTTTTGAACTATAAAAATTGAATGAATGTACCCATGCACAGCAGAAGATATCTGGAAGATTAATATCCAACCTAGTAAAGCCTCAAGTTTTTTTTTTTTTTTTTTCATGTATAGATACACACAAATATACGGTTTCTTCTATACAAAAATGAGGAGTTACAGGCCATTCTCCTTTGAAAAAGCTCTACTGGGAGAGTGCCATATGCATTCTAGGGTCAAGTGTCTCATTTTTTGTTTGTTTGCTTGTACAAACAAACTTTCTGGTGTACTTGAAAGCGTATGTTTTCAGTGTCATACTGGGAACATTAATGTACAGTGGATTATAAGTGAAAGAATCAGACAGTAAGCTTAGCTATCTTAAATCCAGTTGCACATCTGAATTCAGTAAATCAGAATCTTTTAAACTGTTTTTATAAGCAACCCCCTAACTCATCCTCAGGTTGCACGCACTCATCTGGCTACCAAGTTGAAAACCTCAACCAGAAAATTCGCAATTGGTAGAGTAGGGATCATTTTGGGATAGGGCACATAAGCCCGTGTATAAAGAGTGAGTCAGGTGAACATTGTGCATCTGTTACTCAATACTTCCATGTAGCTCAACGGATATTTTCAACTAATGGTTCTAAGAAGAAGAAACTAGAAGAAACCAGATAAGGTGATATCATAGACAGATGAATCTGATAACATTCCAAGTTTTAAAGTACAGCTACTACAAGCTCAATGAGCTATTATGGGCATAAACAAGCCTAGAAGGCTTGCCAGGGGTGTGGGGGAGGGAGGAACCAGCAAAGAATATCAAGGACCCATAATTAAGGCCTCACAAGGCTTACAAATATAAGACTGAATTAATAAGATACTAAAGTATTTGAACAACACTCTTAAAGGAGCCACACACTTCTAAGAAGAGAAAATAATACAATATATATTCTAATATATATAAGTATAAAAAATAAAGAATACAAAAATATTAAAAAGAACGTTCTCTAGCCTGTCAGAAAAATACGTGATAGGACATAGAAGGGCAGGGTGGGGTGGGGTCCCAAATTCACTTCATATCTAGTCTCTACATCCTATTCAAGAGCTTTTAAGGGATCAAGGGCAAAAGCCCAGGTCTTGTTTACCAGTGGAGGTCTTCAGCTTATTCTGTTACACAAACAAGTTTGGAACCACTGTTTGTGGTGGGGATCGTGGCCCCCTGTACTTAACGACTTAATTGTTTTTGTTTTCAGACAAGGTTTCTCTGTGTAACAGCTCTGAATATCCTGGGACTAGCTTTGTAGATCAGGCTGGCCTCAAACTCACAAAGATCCGCCTGCCTCTGCCTCCTGATTGTTGGGAATAAAGGAGTGTGCCACCGCCGCCCAGCGAATGACTTACGTGTTAAACAAACTAGTAAAAATGTTTCCTGAGCCAGAAGCCTGTGGCAGATGCTCTGCACTGTGCTAATAAGGAATCCCTAAATGCCTTAGCCCTTCATGAAGTTAGAAAGCACTTCCACATTCAATCCCAAATGTAGGTCAAGACAGCTGAATGTATCATCTAAAGATCACAAATAAGAATCATTAGATATGCCTTTTTTATAATGGTAAATTATTCTATTTTTAGCCAATTCCTTTTGGGCTACAGATGATGGGAAAGTATTATGACTTCTTCTTGTGGAGGTAGCATTTAAGATGAAACCCATTGAACCAGAAGCTTGACTATTAGAGAAATGTGTATACTGTAGACTAGATACATGCTTATCTGAGATTCATTTCAAAAGTAACACATTATAGATAACCTAACAATCATAAATTTTCATTGCTTTAAAACGGAGGAGCTGGGACCCATCTACCTAGTGGCATATTACATTTCTTTTTTTTTTTTAAATCAGGGTCATGCATATAGGAAAGAAGTTCAGGTCTTTGGAACACTCATAAGTTAGTGTGGCAGCCGTCTTAAAACTCCAACCTCAAAGGGTAAAGACAGGGACTTGTCAGAGCAAACTCACTAATGAGACTAGCCATACTGATGAGTTGTGGATTTGACTGTGAGTCCTTGTCTCATTAAATAAGGTGCAATATAATTCCCCATGTGCAAACCCATCCATGTTCATATGCGACCCCACATGCTACACATGCTACAAATGAACACATGCTACAAATGAACACATACACACCACATACACATGAAAATGGAAAAGAAAAAGACTCATAGATAATTATTTGAGAAAAAATGAGCGTTAAATAATACAGAGTGAAAATAAGAGGCCACAGAACAAAAATGAGTTTCTGAACATACAATTGTAGTTGCATCCATTTTGTTGTTACTGTTGTCCTTGTTCTTGTTTGGTTTTTGTTTTGTTTTGTTTGAAATAGTAGCCTTTATTGTTATGCGAACTCACTCTGTAGACCAGGCTAGCTTTGAACTCATGGAATCTACCTGCTTTGGCCTACTAAGTACTACAATTAAAGGCATGTGCCACCACACATGATATATTTACATACTTATATCCAGAAAATGTCTAGAAACAAGTTGGCTACTAAGTTCATATCATTATTTGAATTCAAAATGAGAAAATAAACCAGAAAAATCTTCTCCTTTCCTCACTGTCACAAAGCTAGAATGTTCTCATAAAGAA